ACCTGAAAAAAATCAGGCCTGTACGGGATTCGAACCACTGACCTCTGCGATACTAACCTCTGCGCATAACCTCTGCGATACTAACCTCTGCGCATAAATAGCGCTCTCTACTGCGAGGATCATGCATCATACGTATCTAATACCGCAGTTCAAAATATATGAACTTCATATATACATTGTATCTGATTTATCATCACGGGTTTATCACGAATCAACTTAATGGCCTGCTCCCAGTTGGCTTGTTAGCTCAATTGGTAGAGCGCTGCACTAGTATCCCAGAGGTCAGTGGTTCGAAACCCGTACAGGCCTGATTTTTTTCAGGTCTGATTTTCGCTATTGCATAAATAGCGCTCTCTATTGCGAGGATCATGCATCATACGTATCTAATACCGAAGTTAAAGATATATGAACTTCATACTGACATTGTATCTGATTAACAATGTATGTTAAAAATAAGAATAATATGGAATATCCATAATAAGGATCTTAATTAGGAATAAGGATCTTAATAAGGAACTTAATTAGTAATACTAATAAAAGTAATTGTCAGACAGGGTACTTTGAGAAAGTTGTGCGAAATAAATAAGTTTTCAGCTTACATTTAAAAATGGAAAATGATTGAATATCACGTAATTCAGCTGGCAGAGCATTCCATAAGTACGGGGCAGCAGCAGACTGGAATGATCTGTCCCCCAACGTGGCAAGCATTTTCCCCTTAGGAGGGTCAAGTAATAAACTTTGATTTGATCTAAGATTATATACAGACCTAGGCTTGACGTTAATTAGTTCAATGATATACCTAGGCGCCCATCCAGGAATAGCTTTAAATGTTAAAATTATGATCTTAAAATGAACACGATGTTGTACTGGTAAGCAGTGAAGTTGACAAAGCGCAGGAGAAATATGCGAATACTTACTTAAACTCAGTACAAGTCTTGCCGTAGCATTCTGCACACGTTGCAATTTGGCTATTTGCGACTTAGGAAGACCATACAAAAGTCCATTACAATAGTCTAAACGACTAGTGATAAAAGCATGAATAAGCGTTAATAAAGAATCGCGAGATAAATAATTCTTAATCCTCCTAATATTATGTAGGTGATAAAACGCGGAATTACAAATGTTATCAACGTACGTTGACATTGACAACTTATCTATCAAACCATGTACCGAGATTTCTAACACAGGAACTAGGATAAATATCACAATCACCTACGGAAATATTAGATTCAAAATAAATTTAGTGGCGCGTCTCTGCGCTCTTTCAAGCTTATCAGTGTTCTTACGCGAATATGGGGACCATATCTCAGAGCAGTATTTATGGTTAGACCTTACTAAGGAACAGAAAAGGGTTCCTTTGCACTCTGGGGTATAAGTAAATGGGTCCACTTGTACTCTATATCTTTAAAAATTAGTTTTTTTCTTCAATTATTTTCACTTATTTTAGCCAAATTCGGTTTAATTTTTTCTAATTAATTTTTTAAAAAAGGGGAAAAAAGTTACCCTCGACCCTCAACAAGAAACCCTTGACCCTCCTACCCTCCACAAAAAGATAGACTCCCGCGATAATTACTCCAGGGTGCTCGCCCAAGTGATTCATTAACTTTTAGCTGAAAATACGTTTTTCTAAATAACGCGGACGCTTCTGCGGATTAAGTAGCTATTCTAAAGATCTATTTCTTTCAGCAGAGGGCAAATTATAGATACCACATTAATGATTCATGTAAGAGTGTATGAAATAAAGTAACTCTTCATGCAATTTAAGTTGGATCATAGCTCCTGTTGAGTGGACAAGTCGAAACGACGAAACGACACAACGAAACGACATAACTAAACAACGAAAGGACATAACGAAACGACGAAACGACATAACGAAACGACGAAACGCCATGACGAAATGACGAAACGACAAAACGACGAACCGATGACGAGTCGCACTCGTAAAACGACGAGTCGAAGAGGCCAGCCGACGAATCGAACTGACAATACGACGAAACGAATTGAAAGTTCCACGAGTCGAACTCGCAAAACAACGACTCGACATAACGAAACGCAATAACGAAACGACCAATCGAACATTTTGTCCAGGATCTACCTCCATAGGGGGATGCCCTATAGTTAGTTATTACTAAAGTGGAACGACCGCTGACACAAAAAATCATACTGCGGGAGGGGGTCACAGAGTCTACGTGAGAATTCGCGATCCAATGAGTAAAGGGGATAAGTTTCCAAAGAAACTGTGATGCTGCGTCGATGGGAGTAACAAGGTAATTTGGTTACATCAACCAAGTTGAAATTGTAAATTGGCCACCATAAAGAGTTAAAAAGCTGACGTTTCGAGCGTTAGCCCTTCGTCAGAGAACATGCCAGATATTTACTAACTTGCGTTGATAAGAATTCGACATTAAGTGATCCTTTCGCCACCTTCAAGATTTGAATGTGTTTGGAAATCGACACTATAGCTTTATTTAGTTAAGAACAAGTGCACTGGATCTTTTTTAGGTTCTGTTGCCGAGCAAATCGACGATCGAACGAATCAGCGGAGTGACCTCTGGCAGATTGTCGGTGTGATGGAAAGAGGTAAGATGCAAGTAATTCTAGGGGTGTAACAGAAGCCACCTCAGTGACATGTAAGCAGCATGCATCGACGTTTTGGATATTGGTAACTAAATAGCTGTTTTTGAATATAATAATTTTTTTTTCTTGTTATTTTTACACAATCGTTAACTCATCATAACTGGCATTTGGGCTGGGTTTGTGTCTCACTGGAGATTGAGGCATTATCCTCTTCGGGGCTGTCACTAATTTTTCAAGGAGGCGGAAAAATGAAAGGAATACCCCGGTTTTTAAAACTCTCCTTGAGGAAGGAGTGAGGAGGGACAGGAATGGAGATTTAGGGAACAAAAAAAAAACCTGTACTAGAGAGGCACGACAAAACTTTGAAAAGGTTTTGACAATCAATCATAATTTTTTTCTGACAAAACACTACAGGCCGGCATTGGCAATACCCTCACTCTTTTAATTGTGGGACTCAGAGCAATTACATCCAATCACACATCAAGAGCTTGCAAGACTCCTGACTGGCTGGCAACAGCATGACCAATAAGAAAAGACTGGAAACCAGTCAAAGGAGCAAAGAACATGGTGTCACAAATATTTCGTGAACACGTATAAGGGTTATAGCTTTGCTTGATAAAAACAATTAATGAAAGAAAACTTTATGTGCATTAGGTGGTCCAGGAGGATTTCTGTAGCACAAAGCCTTGCACTAATGGCTGAGACCAAACACATTGAAGCCTTGCAGGCTGAGAAATTTTGTCAACATGTGATTTATCATAGAGGAAGACCTATGGTCATCACTTTGTTCCATCTGGTAAACTGATGTGAGGTCACTGACCTGTAGCAGAAATCCTCAACTCACTCTTTATATACCTTTCAGAAAAAAAGAATGGCAAGATTTGTTTTTGATTTGATTTTATCAAAGAGACAGAGCAGTTTCTGATAGTAATTTATGATGTAATTAGGTTGAAATTTTTCATTGAACTTGTGGAAATAAAGATTTGATAAATTGTACCCTGATGAAAGTTGTTTTATGCTGGACCGAATATTATAAAATGATATCAGTTTGGGGGAAGAGTTATGTTTACTTATCTTTCATCTGAAACTGACCTGTCAATAGCACACAAATTATAACAAAAATCAGGGACAACATGCTGGAGATTTGTGTCCGATTTCAGAAGATTTTGTGGAGCTAAGTTTTGCACTTTGGTGGGCAGTTTTAAAACAAATCAGTGGAGTAATTTCTTTCATTAGTGTTCTACACTTGGGTGGAAGTTTAGAGATTCCAGAATTGCAAAAGTCTCGTGTAAAACACTACAACTGGATTATCTTGTGAAAAGCAGGCTAAAATTGAGGGATTCACGAGCAAGTAGATTGGTTATGTCTACTCAGTGGAAGCAGCCATGAGTGTGATAAAACTAGAAAGCACGTTCAAGTTCTCCTGTCCTCCAAATCTCAGTTTGACCCAACAAAAGAACACACACACAACCCTTGGGTTCTGCTCGCCTCAAGCCAAGTTCTCAGTTTATTCTCAAAAAGACTGCAGGATATGTGACAAATTGTAGAAAAGTAATATATCATTAAAACAAAAAAAATTATATACATAATCCATGTAACATTCAGCTCCAGAGATCTAAATCACATGCTTATTGACATGGGGTTGTGGAACAACAGCTGGGTAAAAAACCTCCCTGTATGTCCTTTGGGCAAGACCAACTAAATAGATACTAGAATAAATTAAAGAGGGGTTTGCAGGAGAAAACCAAATACCTAAAGCCTTGGAAGCCAACAAAATATGAAGATCAAGAATCTTGAATGTACCCGTCCATAGCTGATTCACAAGCCTAGTGGCCATGATGCTTTAAAAGATGGTCTGGCATGCCAGCATTTGCGGCAACAGTAGCCCCACCACTTTGAAGACCACAGTATGTGTTCCAGTGGAAGAAATATCTGGCACAATATCTTTAAAAGCCTTCAGCACCAATCCTCTTAGCCTCAAATAGCTTAAACCTCTAGCCCTAGGCTTATAACCACATTTTGTTTTGGCAAGCTGGCAAAGAAAGGGCTATTGCAAGAAAGCCTAGCTCTTTCTAAATGAGGGTTCATCATAGCAACCAGACAACAGGACTGCTTTTCAGGAAGAAGCTACAACAATCTGAGCTCCATCCCTTTATTGATCAGTTTTACTTGAATAAATTAATAATAATAATAATGATATTTATCCAGGGAGCCCACTCGCCTTGGCGGTTTTCAGTGGGGCCCTGCAAATAATAAAATAAAATTACCTTGGAGAGCTCTGTTTATGTGATGTGATTTCATTCAAGGTTTTCATTTGTGTTTGTTTACATTTCACTTTCATGTTGAGGATCATTAAATTTTGAACAGGTGGAGGTTTATTCCAAATGAAAAAGTTTCAACAAATCATTGCTGCTAAGGCAAATATGTTGTAAATTACAAGTAAGACTATAATGATAAACCATGCTGATTTTCTATTTCATTTTCCTCTCTCTACTTACCATGGGTGAATGAGAGCATAGCTGAACAATTTTTGTACCATGCTTGAATGAGGGACTTGACTGCCTTTTTCAATTGCCACGATCTGAAAATACTACCAAGATTATTTTTGCCAATGACTTATTACCTTTATGGTATAAAGGATTAGTATTTTCATCCTAACAAACTTAGTCCACCCACCTATAAACATAATATCCTCCCAGCATCAGTGAACTGTGTTGGGGTTTGAAACATTACCTGGTCTATGATTTGAATACTTCATTCTAGTCTGCACCCAATTTCACATTCAAATGCTGGATTTTTCAGTTCAACTAGGGAAAAAAGGTGTGTTACATTTTCACATTACTTTTGTGATTTTAAAGAGATGGACCTCTACTGAAAAAACACCCTGGAACCTAGTCATGCAAAACAAGCCTTTCATATGGTAAATATTGTTAACACAAAATTATTTAAAGCATATAAGCTAAATACTTTATTGTTTATACACCTTGAATCTTGGTTACAACAATATGAAATGCTCACTTGATAACAAACTATTTCAAAAAACCAATAACATACTTCAATCAGTGCAAACTGCCTATAACCTTACAACAAATCATTCTGCTCTTTGTCTCTAGATCTAAAGTGGCAAAAGCACCAACTTGACGTGTTCTGCAGGTACAACAAGATAAAAATTTTTTACAATGATTATTATTATGTTGTCCCCTTTCAGGATTGACTTTACCCTTGCTTCTTACATCCATAAGATTTTCTCCCTTGAGCTCATTGTCCTTAAATAATTCTCTCAAGAGCAGAACAGCAAAATTGGAGGGCAGCCACAACTTTGGCTAAAGAAAGTAGTTTCTCTAAAGACAGGTTTTAGTGTCGGCTTTCTTCTTCCATCAATGGCTGAATGACTGGACTTGCTTATAGACTTTAAGGCTGTGCCTCTCCTGAAGGTTTTCCCATTGTGCTGATGGAGGCCTGATCAGGTGGCTACATACTATGTTGAGAACTAGGCATCAGCATCACCATGATCTTGTCCAACTTTTGGGAAAGCAGCTGCTGGTTTCTGAGACAGCTTTTACCTCATAACTTTGTTGAGCTGGACTGGCCGGCAGCTTTAAAAGTAGAGTCTACCTGTTGGTTGAATTCTTCAGAGGGGGGAAGCAAGCCACTCCAGTTCCCGAAGTCATCAAAGAAGTGAAGGAGTTCATCAAAATCATCCCTTTTACTTTCCCTTTCCTTGTGAGCCTTAACAAAAAAGGAAAGAAATTTGAAAATTATCTGCAAGGTAATGAGAACAAGGTACCAGTGCTTTTCATTTATCACGACAGGCAATTGAAGTGTACCACACCTATTAAGACTTAAACAAAGGAGCAACATTGAAAGTTGACAAGTACACATGATTTGCTCCCGTTAGTGGATAGGTAGCAAATGTTTGTCAGGTGTGACCCATTTGTCATCAATTCTTTGGATTCTTTCTAGAATTTAATGCTTGAAAAAGTCATTATTCCTTGCTAATTATTACATGTACATGATTATAGTATGGTTATTCAAGTAATAAGACAAATCTTGCTTCTGCCTAGTTATTACCTTTGAAGTAGATTACCAACACAGGGTTTCTGATAATACGCACACTCTGGACTTGTTAATTTTTAAGCAATTCCTGTGAAATTCACCAAAAACATGCAAAATGCCACTAATTTTGCTGGAAATCTTACTGAACTTGCATCACATTTGAATTTAACTTGGCTGTTGGGGCTCTTTACAAGCCATAAAATTGCACATTTATCTTGAAAAACATGGATTTTTGTTGCATTGGCAGTGGTCATGATGTAAAAGACTTCTGCATTGGTGCATCTCTCAATTGTATTTCTGTTAAAAGAGCAAATGAAGATATCTGTTAAAAAGAACCTTGTCAAACAAATAGCAAACTGTCTACAATATTTCTTTCTTGGCATCTAAATTGTATTATATTTCCTTTCTGTGGTAGGTTTTTTGTGTCTTTTAACTGATTGCCGCATACTGCAGCTTGCAAACTTTGCAAGTTATTAACTGAGCTACGCACAAATGCCAAACATCTTCAATGAGCAATGTACATCCATCATTTTCACAGTGCAACCTATCAGAAGCCTTGCCAATAGTACAACTGTCTCTTAAAGGTTAGGAATCTCTTACTTAGTGTTAACTAATCATGAGCCTTTTCCACTAAAGGAGACAAAAGCTGACTGACTTTTCTTGTAGAAGTTGGATTTGTTGGCGGTTTGCTTTGTCAGGAAGGAAATATACTTTTGAACTCTTCACAAGGTAATGAGGTCAGAGAAGCATTTAATATGCACAATCACATATATATGACACTTAAACTAATGAGCAGTCATTACTAAAGAGTTCAATTGATGGTTGCTTCTCATTTTAAAGATCCAATGAGCTCTAAAAGATGAAGATTTGCATGAAGGACTCCTTGAGGGTGATATCCTACAAGTGCTGGAAGGAATAGGTTATAACTTAAAAGGAGTTCCACACCTCTGAAGCCATCATTCAGTAAGTGCTAATAAGTATTGCATGCATGGCATTTATTGCACAGAAGAAATGATAAAACTTCAGAAACTACAGAAAACTAAGCTTAGATAGAAGGTAAGTGATATATAGTTGTAATCCTTTAGCATTTTTAGATATTTAGTGGTGCATAACATAATCTAATTGCCGCGATGACATAATGACCAATGGTGCATTACAAATGACTTTTAGTTACTGGTAGGTACATGTCAGCCTTTTTCAATATTTACCTACTGACTGGGAACAGAGTGTAATAGTAAGCAAAAAAAGAAATTGACTCCATGATAACCTTTTTTTTTGGAGAATGTTCAAATCTGCAGACCTTGCACTTAAGTTCTTTGAATTTGTGTTTCCCTTGTGCAGGACCTCCACATGTTTCTTCTCTATTGACTTGATTTGATGAATGCCTTCAAGGGGGTTACTGATTGACTTCATTAGCATTTTGGCCATGTCTTTTAAGGAGACAAGTGTCATTACATCCAGTGTGAGATCTCTCATCTGAAGAAGCTTTATGGTGGTTTTTTTATTCCTTATGCCAAGGATGATTTGATGGCAAATGAGGAAGTCATGAGAGGAGTTACAGAAATTGTAGGTCCTGGCCAATATCTTCAAGTAGGCAACAAATTTCTTGAAAGGTTCGGTGCAAAGTCTCTCCCTCTTGTTAAAACAATATCTTTCATGTCTCTTTTATGTCACTAAGTTAGTTTCAATGTTCTCCATAACCACCTCCCAGTTGTGTTGGTCCTTAACTCCGAATGAGCACAAACAAGAAACTCAACCAAACAGTTTTTTAATCAAGTAAACAAATTAACCTCAACCAACTTACAAGAACATCACCAACACTTTTCTGTAAACACAATATTATATATCAGTGGTATTGACCACTACTTCATAAATAATATCACATCTCCCTTCTCATAAAAAACTTATTTGCAATCAAACAATCAGTCAGACAATGACAGTTCAAAGTCCTAAACGATGTCCTTAAACAAAGTCTCGTAGTCGTCCTGGTCTATGAATTACCCTACCAGATCTTGTTTGAATCACAAGTGGTCCTTCTACTGGCAAAAGGGTACTACTTGCTAGCATGTTTGCTTAGGATTCCAAATCCAACTGTTGCAATGGTTCCTTGGTCTTAACCAAGTGTCTTCTATTTCTCCTGAATATAGTTCCTAGGAGATCTATCTCATAGAAGCAAGATGCTACTTGCTTGGCAACTGTACATACATACATACATACATACATACATACATACATAACCTTTATTAACTTGTCTAGTGGTACTAGTGCCTGTAAACACTAATTGGGGTCACCCTAAAACTACATTATATCATTAAAACAGATTAAAAATACTCTAAAACTAGTATACTACTTAATAGCTCTAATGGACATCCTAAAACAACATTACATCATTAAAAAAAAAGAAAAAAAATATATAACTAACTGCAGACAGTACTGTTTCGGTCTTCTGGGCCTCAGTGCAGCGCTGATGCTAGGATGGGGGAGAACCGATATGGTTACCCCGAATGATCCCACATTTGTGGTATCGTCTAAGCCATGCCAGAGTGCTCAAACTAGGAAAGCCTAGTGAGCTATGTGCAATGCTAGTGGTAATGACTCACCCTACAGTGCACAATTTGGACATGAAAGCAGAGCTTTGTATGCCAAAGAGCTAAATCTAATATATAAATACTTTAAAACATTAAAAAAGCCCTAAGATATGCGCACATTCAGTTACCCAGAACATAAGTGTCATGTATTCGGTTTTTATTTTTTTCAAAAGCACATGGAATACGTAATGCGCACACGTGCGCATGCTTACGAGAACCAACCGCATACACTACAACACCTCCCCTGTAAGCCAGTCTCTTGTCCCCCTAAAGTCCTTAAGAATTTAAAAGTTTCCAAAAGTTTAACGCAACATGCTATCAGTAGAAATCCAGTCTCAAACTCCCCTCCCCCCNCACATTCCCCAGGTTTGGGACAGCTTCGGCGGAGGAGCTGTTGTCGATAACGGTACTTAATTGTGACTGTAGATATTCATGTATTCTGCCATAGGGGTCTTCTTCTTCTTCTGGGAGACTGCGTTCGTAACTTTCCTCTTCGAGCTTGGTTACTGCTTCGATTTCGGCGGTAGTAGCTGCTAGCTCTTTGATCATCTGTAATTTCTTGATGTCACTTTCTTGCCTTTTCAGAGCGGCGACCTTTTCACTTTCGATATCGTGGAATTTTAGCTCGGCGCCGAGTCTTGCGGCCTTGGCTAGCATCTCTGCCCTCCCGAGGGAAGAACTCGAATAGTGTGATGATTTTCCAGATCTGCGGGAACTCCTACTCCGGCTGGAGCGCTTCGAGAAAACAGACTCGCGCTCTTCGTTCTGTTCGCGCTTCTCGGATTTCAGTTCGGAAATTCGAGCGCTTAGGTTTTTGCAAACTTCTTCTGTTTCCCGTAGAAACTTCTCGTTATTTTTCGTCGCGTTGGATTTGGATTCTTCGGAGTCCAGCACATCGATCAGCTTGCAGTACGCATTCGCAAGATCGTTCATTCGTGTTTCTAGCTTACATCGTTCTTGATGCAAAAGCGTTATATCGGTGGAGAATGCGAGAGCACCCTTTGTTGTTTCTATTTGCCTTTTCCATGCTCTTAAAGCCGAATCTTCATCTCTTTGAAGCAATTGAGTTTGGTACTCAAGTCCCTTTTCGGTCGGAACTCTTTCGCGGGAGGAAGACCGAACGTTTACAGCGTTTTCTTCGGTTCGTTCTGTTGCGTAGTTCATAATCGATCTTCGTCCTCGCACGACGGGAGAGTTTTTACTGTAGCTGACGTTAGCTTTTAGGAAACCATACGTTCACGGTTTTGACTCGTAAAATGTTTAATACCACGTAAAAACTGTAACAAAACGGTAGCAATACACTAATTGGACACAAATTAATTATAAGAACTGTTCGATAAATACTAGACAAGATGACAATGCAATGAACTCCACGTGGGAACGAATATTAACATGAAACAACACAATTTCAATCGACGATTTACAGTTAAGATTCGTGTTCCATATGACTTAATAAATGGGAAGATCAAACTTAAATCAAATATATTTCATCATACCTCTTTTCCCTCTTAGCGCAAGGATGAGACCTTAAATCGTTTTGATCGAACTCTGAGCCTTGCCCTTGTCGTTATTGCGCATATCTAATTTCTGTCACGCAATGAACGGACCTTACAAACGTCACAGTGGAAATGTTGAGAAGAGAGTTGTGATTAATGAAATCACTCCATGCAGTCATTTACATGGTCCCCTCCAATTCCTTCAGCCATTGTGGAGAAGAATGTAGCAAAGTGGTTAGCTACTTTGAATTGATCCACTTCCAACACATCATTAACCTTCAAGCAGATACCTCCGCTGTTACCTCACTTGTTCCTGAGGTCAGTGAAAGGTCTGAACGTTGTGTAGAACTTTCTTGGATCACACTTGACGTTATCTGATACTTTATTCCAATACCGCCTGATAGCTTTCCATCTTTCTCTAGTGGCCACGTTGCGCCACTTCCTCTTCAACAGAAAATTCTCAGGTGTGGGATTTTTACTGAATTTTTTAGAGAAGTGTCTTTTAGCTTTAATAGTATTTTTCCACTCCCTCGTCATGTATGGTACATTGTGTGCCTTCACTTTCATATCCCTGGTGGGTAGATGCTCATCAACGATATTATTCAACAGTGCTTCCCAATACTCGTACTTGTGAAGGTGTAGTCTGGTCGTACTGTTACATCGTACTCGTACTGTTCATCAACAGATTCAAAACCGTCACCCACCTGCCAAGCAGCCATTTTGCAGATCCTCTTTGAACTTCTCCTCATCAAGGTTCTTATAGCTACGCACCTTCAGTCCCCTTTTTCCACAGCTTATCTTTGTCTGACGGCAGCAGTTTTAGGCGCACTGTGTCTCCAGATTGAAGCTCAGAAAGCTCTTGTGTTCATTTGTTGTAAAACAGTGCTTGTTTCGTCTTTCTTTCTTTGAGCTTGTCTTCTGTTCCCACCATGATCCTTGGTTGTAACAATGTTCTTGCTGTAGGTAACAGTGTCTTTGTGCATCGTCCAAACAATCTCTGTACTGGTGATGATCCAATACTGGGTGAAGGTGTGTTGCACCAGTCCAAATTGGCTAGGTATGGATCTTGTCCACTTTGCTTTGGTTAGTAACCTCTTGGCTAATTCTTTACAGCATTTTCAACTTTGCCATTTGATTGTGGATAGTGTGGTGAGGACATTGGTGGTCAAAATGCCAGGTGGATGCAAATTATTTGAATTCTCTGCAAGCCAACTGTGGGCTTTTGTCAGAATACAGAGTATCAGGTATGCCATGGCGTGTGAACTGATTCTTGAGAGACTTGAGAACAGAACTGGAGTTGGTAGTGGATAATTGGTTCAGTTCAAAATAATCTGACCAATGGTCAACGATGATGAACCACTCTTTGTTGTTAAAGCTAAAAAGGTCTGTTACAACATGAGACCGAGAGCGTTTAGGTGCATCATGAGGTATGAGCAGTTCTTTCTGCTGGTTTGTCTGATAAGTGTTGCATGTTTAATATTTAGAAACACAGTCCTTGATCTTGGCAGTCATGCCTGGCCAAAACAGGATATCTCTTGCTTTATGTAAACAGCTTACAATACGAAGGTGGCTTGAGTGTACCTGCATTATCATGTGGGGCCTTAAGGGTACAGGTACAATGACTAAATTTCCTTTAAAAAGGATACCATCTTGGATGCTGAGCTCTTCTTTGAAGATGAAATATCCCCTGACTTCTGATGGGAGTTCTTTTCTTTCTGGCCAACCATTCTCATATACAGCAAATTATGCAATCGGCTCGCATGATGGCGTGCGGACGTGTATCTGAAGGCTCCACGAATTCCGCCGAATTTGTTGCCACTGAACCTTCTTCATCTCCCTTAAACCAATATCTACATTGGGACGACAAACAAAGTCTATTCAAGTGGAAAGGGAGCCTAACACAACTTCAGGAATTTTGTTCGAAAGTCCTAAATTTGGAAGTTTCTGCAACCGCGAGTCCCTCTGAAAGGTCTAGTTCTTTGAAGTCGAAGACAATCACGCTGGTTTTATTTAACAGTACCGGTACCCTTCAAGTCCAAGGTCCGGATACAAAAGCAATGAAAGCCAAACTGAAGAAGCTACTCCAGATACCGGCTGATGACGACTCAGTTATTCTCGTGAATGAAGAAGCTTCTACTCCGGCGTTTAACAAGAATGCCAAATCAGTACAAGAGGAGTTGGACTGTCTGAAATCTGAAGTGCTGAACTTATGGGCTCATATAAAAGAGAAACCTAATGAGGAAGACCTGAGATCCGAAAATTCTCGACTTAGGGAGATAATTCTATCTTTGAAGGAAGAAAATAAAAAGTTAGTCCAAGAACGCGATTCTTTAAGTTTTGCATTGCAAATCGTATCCAGAGAAGCAGCTACTCAATGCCGTTCAATGAGTAACACCTCTAACGAACATACCATTGTCCAAAATATGGATGAGTCAACACCTTGCGCCAACAAAGAACAAGGCTTCATTGTGAAATCAAAGAACAAAAGAAAGAAATCGAAAGGTAAAGGAGGTCCTAATAACACCCTGACAGGAAAAGAATCCGAACCCGAAAAACAACCAAAAGAGCGCACAACCCTGCTCATAGGAGATTCGATGATCTCAAGAATACCTGGAAAAGATCTGGGAAAAGCAGTTGGCCACAGGGTTATAGTCAAGCCTTTCTCGGGCGCTACGACAATGGCCATGAATCACTATCTCAAGCCAAATCTGGAATCTTCGCCCAATGAAGTGATTTTACACATTGGGACTAATGATCTTAAAACCAGGGAACCAAAGGCTGTTGCGGAATCGATTGTGGATCTCGCGAGACAGATCGAGGGCACCTGCGATACTACAGTTACGCTGTCGGAGCTTGTATGCAGAAAAGATAAGCTGGACCAGGCAGTGAAAACAGCCAACAAGCATCTAAAGAAGTTCTGCCATCAAAATGGATGGAAATTAATCCATCATGAGAACATATCTCATAGTGGACTCAACAAAGGTGGACTGCACTTAAATTTTAAAGGTAATGAGCAGTTTTATAATAATTTTAAATCGCACCTAGAATGAGATAATGTGCTGTCCGTCAATGCCGTGCGGGATCAATTAAACAACCAAAAGGCCGAAAAATCTGTCTCAATATTGCCTCCTTTGCGCGGTTTTAGAATGGCATCACTCAATATTAATCAATTAATTACTCATATAGACGAATTAAGAATCATATTAGCAAACAATGATATCGATATTGTTTCCATAAATGAAACGAAACTGAACGAGAGTATTCGAGATCAAGAAGTTCATATTCCGGGATACGAAATAGTTCGCCGCGATAGACTAACAAAATGCGGCGGAGGGGTATGCTTCTATGTAAAAACTTCAATCAACTTTACAGTACGAAATGACCTACACATGGATACACTAGAAAATCTTTGCTTGGAAATCCATAAGCCAAATTCAAAATCTTTTGTGATTGTTACTTGGTACAGACCACCTGACTCTCCTATTGGCATTTTTTCACCTTTTGAATCCCTAATTGGGA